ATTGTACTTTCAATGAAAATATTTTTTCATAATTTTGACTTTTATTTTATTTTTTTAATTTTTCAAAACAAATGTCAGTACACTGAAAAAAACTAGTAGGTTTTTGAAACTACTACTTTAAGTAGTAGATTTTACTACTTAAAATAGGAAAATAAAATTCTTTTTTATTTTTAATTGTTTATTATCAGTGAAATTGACTTTTTCATCCTCTCTCCTATGCTAACGCTTATTTTATGCCCTAACGATTATGTACCTAACAGAGTCCGATACCTTAACCAACTAACCACTCACGCTCGCTACGACAGTCTGCAAACTACTCGAAGACTACTTTCTGATTGTTCAATTGGTAATTTAACTATTTAAAGTAGTCATTTTTACTACTTTTATTAGTTGCTATAACTATCCTTTTTAAGTTTTGACTTGTAAATTTTTCATCTTTTAATTATATTATAAGTTATTTAATTGCATAGTGCAGTAAAATCTACTACTTAAAGTGATAATTTTAATTGCAAAGGATTTTTTAATTCTACGACATAAATATTCTTAAAGCCTATTGAACCACTTTAAGTAGTAAAAGCTACTACTGAAAGTAGTAGTTTTAATTGAAAAAGATTTGTAAATTTTACATCAAAAACGTTTTTCAAGCTTATTGAATTAATTAAAATAGTAAAAAATTACTGCTTAAAGTGGTTGTTTTAATCACAAAGAATTTATTAATTCTACAACAAAAATGTTCTTAAAGCCTATTGTACCACTTTGAGTAGTAAAATCTACTACTTAAAGTAGTAGTTTTAACTGTGTAATGATATGAGTGTGAGTAGTCTCACAGCACACTCACACCATTAAGCAAGGCTCACGTAAAGAGCCAACGCGAAGGCAGTCCCACCATACGACCCGATCACTCTCCCTTCCATAGAGCGCCTCTCTCTCTCCCCACTATCTTACAGCTCAGAGCCAACTCTATAAACTGATGTCGACTTGAAAATTTCGACAGTTCGCCTGCTGCCGGGCTACGAGGAGCTTCTCTGGCCTACGCTTGCCTAACGTTCGAAAGACTTTCGAATTATTCAGGAGCCTCTGAATATGAAAGTCGAGTAGAATAAGGGACGGTATCTGGGAGCCTCCACCACCGTTTCAAAGGCATGCTAAGCAAGCGTACTCAACCCCTCCAGGAAGATGAAGACGAGGTGCATCTCATTCATCTTTCTGATGTCAATATCGGTCTAGTATGGTGCGCATGCTACCTACGCGATCGGTCCCAGATTCGTTGAGGTGCAACTCTGGAATCTGAGACTGGGGGGATGATTTCTTCATACTTCTTGGCGCCTCCAGGACTAGGGTGAATTTATCCCCAGCTAATCTTAAATTGAGAGTTAACAGGATTTTTTACCACAGGGCTCTTCCTGGGTAAAAATGAATGATAAACTACACTTTACATATTAGATTCTTTCTAATGGGAAAGGCTCTATTGTGAGGGCGGTAGAGTCACTGGACGACATTTTTTAGTATCAACTGAAGGCAGTCGCGAGCCAAAGAAATTCTCATCTTACAGTCCGTTGTAAGAGATAATTTCTTCCCCCCCTCTCACAGTCCTGTTGTGAGAGAGTCGTCCAGCATTTAGAAAGAATCAGTAATTAATATTATAATGGCTTAACTTACGAGATATTAATATGTAAAGATATAATTTGAATAATTTACTAATCCTGGGAGTAATTCAGGTTAATTGCGCGAGAATACTTTTCACATTAAGGTAGTAACACATGTTCTTACAAAACTTGCAGTTTCCGCCTGATCGCAAGGGTGCCGAGGTGGTCTAGTGTAGACATGTGCTACGTTCGGACCAGAGGGTTCGAGGTTCGATCCCACGTACATAGTTATTTTTTATTTTTATCTTCTTATAAATTACAAAATTACGGAACATGTTTAAAACAATACACATTATTTTAGATTAAATTTATTTCGATTTCTTACGAATTAATCTTGGTTTTAGTTTCTTTTTTTTACTAAAATTCATCTTTAGTTTCTTTAGTCCGTGAGACGGAGTCATTTTATTTTCTTTATTTTCGTTAAATGTCGTTTCGACGAATAATGTCAATTACTTTATTCTCGTTAAATGTCGGTTCAACAAATGATGTAATTGTTATTAGCAAAATACACTATTATTGTTTAATTAATGAACTTTTTATTGACTATACCTTCACACCTTCCAAATTCACACGAATAATGGTCTCTTAAATATAAATTTTCTGTAAATGTAAAGAATCTTGGCTTCGACGAGTTAAATCCGCGATCACAAAATTAGCTAACATTACAACTGGAAACGATTTGTAAATACTACATCAAAAAATTTTTTTTTAAATTTATCGAATTAATTAAAATAGTAAAAATCTACTACTTAAAGTAGAAGTTTTAATTACAGACGACTTGTTAATTCTACAACAAGAATTTTATTGAAGCCTATAAAATCATAGAAATTAATAAAAAAATTACTTCTGAAAAAGCAGTTATATTAATTAAAGAAAATAATCCCTTTTACTACATTTCATATAACTGGTGAATAGTAGTTGGAGTTACTACTCTTGCAATTTTGAGTTGACTACAATTCCACTTGTTTTTACTACCTCAAGAAAGTTAATTTTACTACCGACCTGTACACTGAAAAAAAAGTATTGAATCAAGAAAATTTTACTTTCTTCAAGTAAACCGTGGAATTGAATAGGGACAAGTCAATTACGGCATTGGTTCAAGTAAACGATTGTCTTGAGATAGTATATTTGGGACGAGAGCATATATTCTTGATCCAAGAAAATATGGAATTCGAGCAATATATTAATCAACTTGTAACAAATGTAAAATACATTAAAGGAAGAAAATATTTTCTTGTTCTGAGAATATATGTAGTCAAATAAAATGTTTCATTTGATTCATTGAAATCTTTGCAATATTGGATCAAGTAAGACAAGATTTAAATCAAAATATTATTTATATTGTGAGGAGACCACATGTTCTTGATTCAAGAAAATATGAAATTCGACCAAAAAACTGATTAACTTCTAAGAAATGTAAAATATATTAAAAGAAGAAAATATTTTCTTGTTTAGAGAATATATGTAGTCAAATCAATTGCTATATTTGATTCATTCAAATCTTTGTGATATTGGTTCAAGTAAGACAAGATTTAAATCAAAGTATTATTTATATATTGTAAGGAGACCATATGTTCTTGAAGGAAGAAAATATGGAATTCGACCAAAAATTGATTAACTTTGTAAGAAATGTAAAATATCTTAAGTAAAGAAAATTTTTTCTCGTTCTGAGAAAATATTAATTCAAATTAAGAAATTTCTCTCGCTAAATACAAGCATTTAGAAAAGAAAATTGTATTGCCCTTTAAAGAATTAAAATTATTTTCTGTATTATTTTATTTGGAAAGAAAAATGACATTTTTTAAGGGAAAATCTTGTAATTAAATAATTTATTTATTTACAAACTCTCTTATGCAGCTATTTTTTTCTCAAATCGTTAATATACGAATTTTTCAAACTGACGCAATTTTTTGTTAAATATGGCTTATTTTTTTACATAAATAGATTATCTATAATTTCATCGAATCGAATTTTCAAAAAATAGGTACATTTTTTGCAAATATGATTATTTGTTTTGAAAAATTTCGCTTCATTTCTTAAACAAATAATCATATTTGGCGAACAATGCATTTTTTTAAAAATTCGATGCGGTGAAGTTGTAGTAACCTAAAAATAAGCCATAGTGTACAAAAATTAGATCAGTTTAAAAAATTTGTATAATATTGATTTAAGAAAAAATTTTAATTGTTTAAAAATGTTTGTATATATGTAATTTTCTAATTACAAATTTTTTTCCTTAAAAATGACATTTTTCCTTTCAAAGGATATAATTGAAAAAATTTTAATTTTTTATAAAGGGTAACACAATTTTTTTTCTAAATGCCTGTACTTAGCAAGAGAAATACCTTACATTTAAGTTGGTCTTAAATTAATGATATTTGAGTGAGTCTATTTTACGCAATTTTTCATAAAAACAATGAAACTGTTTATAACAATCATATTTTATGTTTAATTTATATGTAGATTTTATAGACAGTATATAAATTTGATATAACTATTTAAAATTTTATTTCAAAAATAAATTCCACTCATATAACATGGTTATTTTATTTCATGTAAGAATTTCTTTTCTTTACATTAGTTTACACGTATCTATAATATTAATATATAAATTATAAATTGCATTCTTTTAACGTCATAAGTGATTACCCGAAATTTTAATACTGCCGTAAGCAAAATTCGTAACTATACTGAAGACAGTTTAACATGAGAGCAATGAAATTGTTTATAAAAATTGCACATTATGTTGTGAATACAGTCGACTATCGATAATTAAACATACGATAAATTGAATTTCTTGATAATTTGAAGTTCAATTCGGGTCCCTTAAGAAATTCTTCATTAATTAAAATACTTGATATAAATAAAACTTTCAATAATTTAAATCATTTTTGATGTTCCTTAAGATTCAATTAATCGAGAGTCGACTATATATATAAAGGATACGCAAATATTGTAAAGATTATACAGGGTGATCAAAAAGTACCAGAACGCAGAAAAGGGGTCCGGTACTTTTCGATCACCCTGTATATATGTCGTAGGCAATTAGAAGAATTCGCCATTTAGCTAAAAGCCTAGGCGTTTAGCTAAATCGCACAAGTTAGACGAATGGACTTGGAAAATGATTAAATTCGTCTATTTTCCTGAATAGATTTGACATTTAGCTAAGTGACTAGTCATTTAGCTATTTGCCTGAAGCTGTGTCGGCAAATAGAAGAAAATGGTTAACACATAGAAATTGAATTATATATTATAGTTTACATAGAATACGGAGAAAAATTTTTTCGGGTTTACTGAAAGAAAAATTTTTAAATGTTAATTATTATTTATTGGTTAAGTTAAATTAAATTTTAATTATTTATTTGAACATGGTTGGCTCTGATGGCAACGAGAATCACATAGAGTACCCGATTTAAAACAAATGCATCGTTTGGTTTTACATTGCGATTGACTGGCTTTACAATTACACTTTTTAAAGCCCTGACCACCACTGATAGACTGCTGAGCTGCTGCTTCTCTCAGAGATATTAGCGTGTCTGTTGATACGTCAGAAAATGTTATAACATTGCTGCCAGATTTCTTGATTTCAGCTCGAGGAAACCAACCTTTCAGTAGACCATCTTTTGTGCCAATTTGATATACTCCATTTTCGTAATTCATTATTACCCCATAAATGTTAAGGAAATCAAGAGGCCCTCGATCTACTTCAGGAATGGATAACGTTATGCAGTCTCCTTTATCCAAAGCTGTAAAACTGTCTTCTGAATGGGTTATCATTTTTTGCGCTGCATCCTGTTGTCTCACAAAACAATCTTGCTGAGCATTTACAAGAAGATTCCCTCTAAAACATAACATGCAAATCAATCGGTCCTTAGTGGTTAAATCTAATTACTTTTTTGACCACTGTTAAACACTTTCAATTTTTCTTCAAATTCATTGCGATTTACACTCATTTTTGGTAAAAAAAAATAGAAATTTAAATAAAAATTCGCGTCAACTACAATTTTCACTTAGAGGGTACGGGAAATATGATTATACTAAATAAAATTTAGTTTTGTAACGTAATTTAAGGAAATAAATTTATTTTCTTTTGATCAGTTGTTTACAATTTCTACAAATTAAATGTACATATCTGACGTTTGTTTCAGAAATTAAATTTATTTTGTTTCCAGCTCCTGTTTATAATTTCTATGTGTTAACTATTTTCTTCTATTTGCCGACACAGCTTCAGGCAAATAGCTAAATGACTAGTCACTTAGCTAAATGTCAAATCTATTCAGGCAAATAGACGAATTTAATCATTTTCCAAGTCCATTCGTCTAACTTGTGCGATTTAGCTAAACGCCTAGGCTTTTAGCTAAATGGCGAATTCTTCTAATTGCCTACGACATATATAATTTTACATCTGTTTGACAAAATTTTGTCATTCAATACAAGAAATAAAGTGCTTTCCAATTGATGTCAAACAAATGTGAGAAGTTTTATAAGAAATTAATTTTCTTTGGAGAACATAGCCCCAGTCTTTTGTTTCAACAACTTCAAATGCATGAAAATGATCGCTGAAGCAAAGTATTGATATTTTTGTGAACAGTAAAAAAACTTCGTTTCCTTTAAGTAAAACATATCGAATTTTACCGAATTTAGGAAATAATTCATTATTATCATATTTTATAACCATGTCGGATTTGTAACTCTTTCAGATCATTGTGAAGTTGCATTTCTAAATCAAGGCGAAAATCAAAACCTTCGTTATGGAAAAATTTATTGTTTAGAATGAGTTGATGTTTATTGGCTAAAGACACAGTTGGATTTTTTCGAGAAGTAGTGGCTTTTGAGTAATTTTTGGATTCTTTATGTTTTGCTTCAAAACGAATACAGGATGTCAGTCTTGCAGGTCCTAAACGTAAAATAAACCTAACATAGTGAATTAAGAAATGGTGTTTAGGCTTCAGATCCCCATAAACCTTAATGTACAAAGTATGATGTTCAAAAATTAAATACTTATGAAGTGAAGCACAGTTCTTATTGAAAGTTTGAGCCATTATTAAACAAACTATTTGTCTCAAAATTACATACAATTTCCAAGGTTTATTATCTTCTTCAACTAAGTCGCCAATAATTAGACCAAAATAGTTAAAAAATAAAATCATTTCAGACGCCTAATAAGTAATATATTCCTTTTGTACGCCACTAGGATTCAATAAAGGAGGTTTATTTTCCGAATTTTAAAAACCAAAATTGAAAAAACGCATTCTTTCATGTAATATTTCAAGAGTAAAACATTTCATTTTTATTAAAGACTTAATTATTTTACCTAAATCGTAACGTAAAATTCCCTCGGGAAAATCGTGCATTTGATCAAAATAACAACTTGTTATCGCGTTATAACTCGGAATTGAATTGAAAATACATTCTTCTTCGATACCATATGAATTCGCTTCTAAATGTTCCTCATAATTTTCGGGTGTTCGTAAAAGTGTTTCGTCTTCTTTACATTGCGTTTTCATCGTATCTTTATCTGCGAAGCAAACCCTACAACAATAGTCGCAATTAAAGAATTCCGGAAAGCCAAGGATTTTATTAAGTCCTAAATTATCTCCGCTGACAGCGAGTAACACAAAGTAAACTTTACCTTTATAATTTTTAGTATTTACAGGAATTCCTTCGATTTCTAATTCTTTTAACTGATCTATAATTTTACTAAATATGAATCGATTTCCCATATCTTTGTGATCGTTACTTCGATGAAACTGCGCGAGAAAAATGTTTTCTAACTGACTGGCATATTCAGGTGGAATACAAGCAATGGTACAGTACACTGCACCAATTTTATTGACAATTTTGTGGGTGCCTAATGGATTGTTTATTTCAAAATCGTCAAAAAAAAGTATTAAAGGGAGTACCAATTTTGAACCAAAGTTCTCCGAAAGTTTTAAAAATAATTCACCTTGGATAGTAGACTCCATCAAGTTACTGTCCTTCACTTTTTCCATATAAGACAAAATCGAATCTAAAACATTAGGCAATTCTAAAAACTTCTGAAGAACTAATTTTAAGGGAATTACAGCCATACTTTTGTCAACTTCGTCAATAATTTTAGAACTTTTAGTCTTATCCAATTCCAGAGTCGTAACGGAAGTGTATATTATAGGAGGAATATAAGTTCCTAATTTCAAGAAGTAATCTAGCGATTTATGCTCTGTTGTATGATCCATAAAAGCGTTTTTATAAATGTCAAACATATTACTTAGTTCGGCAGTTGTCGTTAAGTTATTAATTTTAATACTTTTATTTCTAATTGGTTCGCTTAAGGTTAATAAATTTTGAACACTATCAACTATATCAGAAATTAGTTTCCGTGAAACTGACGGATTTGCATGTAATTTCGAAATAATAGATGACGAAGCAAAAGAAACACTATTTGCATATTGGGTAGAGGTAATATCTTCAGCCTGTATGCATTGTTTATTTTTACTGGATTGAAAGACATGTTGAACGGAACATGTTTGCAACCTATTTCTTAACTCAAATTCATGATTTGTTTGTTGAAACAAAGACTGATTTGGTAGGACACAATTTTCGTTATTAATAGTAACAAGTGCTTGTTTATGTTCACTTTTTATATGCTTTAAGAAACCATAAAAGTTAGTGCAAACGCGGTCACAATTTAATTGTTGACACTTTAATGCTTGAAATTTTTGCACAGAGTGCTTAAATTTAAAGTGGCTTAATAGAATTCTATCGCTTTTACAGCATTCATGGCAAAGTGGACATTTGTACATTTTGTTGTTTCATTTACTGATTCGAACGCTAGTTACAAGATTAATTACTCACTTCAAAAACTCAACATTCCATGTTTGTTTCAGCTTCCTTATTTAAAGTTTGTTTAGATTCAAGATTTTTTAAAGCCTGTATTATCTCTAAAGCGTAAGGCTTCTTCACATCGTATGGTGTTTCAAACTTATAAAGAAACCGCTGTATAATATACCAAATGTGGTCGCTGGCACAGGGATATTTGGCCCTAAGCACGTGGAAAGATTTAAAACAAATATCAATTGCCTGTAGAGCAGAAGTTACTGAGTATAAAAAGTTATCGATGGCAACAAAAAAGTCTCTTGCATTTTCTAATGTCTCTCCGACCACAAAAATGAAATGTTGCAATATGAGGCCTTTTCTTCTCATTACATCTTCTCGCTCTTGTCGAGCTTTAGTGATATCACCAGCAATCTGAAAGACAATTAAGTAATTAAATAATTCTATTAAGCCACTTTAAAATAATTTTCGTAGAAATTAAATTTTAGAGATTTTTTTATTAAAAAATAATTGAATTTTTGAACTATTTTAATTGAAAAATTTGTAAATAATTGAGTAATGTAAGTATTGAAAGATCATAACGAATCTTGAAAAAAATTATTTTGGATCTTAAAAATCTTGAACTTTTTTCAAAGTTACTTAACACCTTTCAAAAAAATAATTTTCATAAATTTTGCTTTAAGATGTTTTCAAAGATGTCTGAAAATGAGTGAGAAAAATAGTGTCATTAGTGGACTTTTTCAAAAAAAAAATGCCAACAGTAGTATTTTTTGAAAATAGTAGCTAAATAGTTGTATCAGCTGAAAAAATTGCAAAAAGTGGCGTGAGTGCCAGTAGCCATACATTTGGAAAAATAGTATTTTTATTTGACTAATATTCGGAATAATTGAACTTGAAATTTATTAACATTTGTAATAATTGAATATTTACTTGATTTATATTCGAAATAATTGAATTATTAGCTGATTAAAATTTAAAATAATTTACACGGTTGCTACAAAAATTAAAATTAAAATTTCAAATAACAGAATTTTCCTTACATTTTTGGAAACTTAATACTTTTCTAGTTGTTTTTACAAAACTTTCTGACTTGTCCCTGATAATTTTAATTCCCCTGATTTCCCTGATTCAAGGCGACCCTGAGAAAATAAAGAAATACCTTTGTGTGTATAATTAAGCTTTCTACTGCCTCTGCTGTTGACGGTTTCCAGTGCTTGAATCTTCCAGCTTCTTTTATTTTAAGCCTACCGTTTGGAGGGACTAAATGTGGCAATGCTTTTAACTGCAAGATGGCTTTCAAATCTAGTTTTGTTATATTATAAAAAAGAAACATTATTTAAAATAATATTACTTCTGATAATAATTAATAATAAAGAATAAAATAAACTTACTATCGCCACACTCTTGTGATTCTAAAGCATCGAACTCTTCGGGCAATGCCTTAGGTCTCACTTCAGTTAGCGTTTTGAAGAAATGAAACCAATTTTTGATTGAATCCTTCTCATTTGTAAAATTTCGTAATTCAAAATCGATGTCAATCAGCTCATATCCTTTAGGATTTTCAAGTACCTTCCACTCCGTAAAAATGTCGGCAACTTTCTGAAATGACTGAAGTTTTCCTTTTTCCTCCCTATATTTCGCAGTCACTTTCCAATGACTAAGTACTAACGCCCATGACTGCAAATTGTCTCTCAACCATTTTAAACTTTCCAACACCTCTTCAGATATTTCTGCCAAGTCTATAAAATTAAAATGAATAATATTAAAAATAAATAGAACACAAATCATTAAGTGTACATGGTTTAAAATGTGGATAAGTTAAATATACAATCACTTAAAATATGGATAAATAAAAGATAAAATCAATTGATTCAAGAATCAACTGACCCATGGGTCAATTCAAACTGAAGTGAATTGAAATGTTCCAACTAAACTAGTTAATCATTAATAATATATAGTATATGATATTTTTAGTTTGGATTAATGATTTAATTAAATAATTGAAAAATAATTAAAATTTCTTATAAATTTATTATAAAGTTGAATAAATTTTAGATTAATTATGAAAAAAAAAATTTCATAAAATAATCAAATAGACTTAGATGAACGCCTTTTAGCATAGATTAAAATTAAAACCAAAGAAATTGAAATAGAATTAATTTGTTGATAATTACAAAAAGACTGTTTAAAATAAGAATAATTATTAATTAAATACAGTGAAAAAGATAAATAAATGCTAAAGAATAATTGTATTTAGTTGTAACATTCGAAAAAATTGAAAAATATTAAAAGGTGATGCCCGTACAGCAAATAGATATCCCTAGGATATCTCTGCGATATATCGAAAAAATCTTGGATATCCCATAGATGTCCACAGGATATATTAGATCTCCCTGGGATATCCCTGGAATATCAAAAGTTCCCTCTACTAAGATGTATTCAAGATGTTTGTAATGGATATCTGTGGGAGATCCCTGGGATATCTTTAGAATATTTAAAAAAATATATTGAAAATAATTTATAATTAGTTAAAAATGATTTATACATATAAATAGATAATAAAAAACTTTTTATTTTAAACGATTACATAGTAGAATGAACATTACAAAGTGAGAATATATTGTATCTAAGTATAATTTAATGTGAAAATGAAACAAAAACCTTATTTTGTGTTTTTAAAAAACATTAAATTTTAAAATTAGTGAAAGTGTTAGCGTAATTTTTAGCTTTTCATTTTCTTTGTTACAAGTCAGATAATAAAATTTCTGATTAAAAAATCAGTAAGATTTATTTGTATTATAATACTGCTTTTATGCCACTTTGTCTTCAATTGGCAAAGAAAATATTGTATCTAGGTACAATATAAACAAAAAAAATATCAAAATTTTTTTCTTTTTTTTGAACTAAACGTGTTTTTAAACTAAAGAAGCGTAAATTTTTAAATGAACACAAGTTTTATGTTGATGTTGGCTTTTTTAAAGTACGTAATTAAAAATAAGAAAATAAAATTTTTAAACTTAAAAACCTTGTTTAAGAAAGTAAGATTACATCGTAGTACTTCTTTTATGACAACTCGTCTGCAAGTTCGTCTTGATGATTAGAATGTACTCTTTCAGCATCGCTTAAAACATTTCTAGAAATCTCATCGCCACCATGTTCTTCCGAATCAAAATTTGAGGTTAGAGGAGCATTTGAGCTGTCATCCATCAGTAATACACCGTCAAGATTCTCAGAGTTTATCAAATTTTCGACCGTTGTAATTTGAATTTTAGAATTAGCTTGTGAAATGCATCTTTGATGTGCATGTCTCAACCAATCTTTTATGTATTGTATAACATCGCTTTCTGAAGTGAATTGAGAATGATGCTTAGATGCACCTGAAAAAAAATTTATTTTAATAATTTTTTTATTTATTACCTCTTCTTATTAATTTATTAAATTAGCCTTAATTTTATTTATTATTTTGTCATTATTGAGATTTATAAAAAATTGTTCTCGAAATCATTAATATAAATAATGTAATATATTTTTAAAAAACTCACTCATAATTGCACTGCACAATTGCAACTGTCCAAAGATAAACTTTCCTTTCTTCCCCAGCCAACTGAAATTTTCCGCCACTTCATTTGAAAGTGTTCTAATCAATATTGAATTTACATTATCTTTGAGGGATTTTCCTCCAACCTGAACCAAAAAACTAACCATAGTTTTCATGTAATTTGTTTTCGTTAATTTATCTTCAACTTCTTGTAATGCATCGAGAGTTTTGACAGGTAGAATTCTTTGCAAGTCGAAATCATTGGGTGACGAATCGTCACTTTTATTTTCAACTGGATTATTAGAATCGCTTAGTTGACATGCAATTTCATCTACCTTTTCTGCAGTAGAACTAAGTTGAAACTTTAATTCAGTAAAAGAAGAGACTACGTATTTCCGAAATGATTTCTCTGAAACAATGTAAGTGAATAATAAATAAAATATTTGCCATAAAAAAGAAATAAAATATTTGTTGACAAATTTAATATAGTATACCGTCATCATAAACTTTAAGTTTACTTTTCTTATTGCGTACTCCTTCTTTCGCATAATCTTCTTTCTATTATTGTCATCACGCTGATTAACAGAAAGGTTTTTCGTGATACATCTAATACTGCGAAAAATTTGTTCGTTATGTGTAGTGTTACTTCCATTAGAAAATTTGTTTTCTATTTGAGATGAAGTAGAAGGAAGAGGGCTTTTCATGATTGGTACTGGTGGATATGAAGGTATCGGAGTTGCTTTTTGCTGATTTTTAGGGATGGTCTTGAAACTGTTCTCATCATTAAAATTATCGTCAGTACTCTCTTCAGATTCAGAACTTTCAATTTCTTGCAAACGCTGTTTTTTAGATTTAGGAGAATTTTTCTCCACATGAGTAGTTTTTCGCTTCTTTTGTCTTCGTTTTTAGGGTTCCGTACTCGGTTCGGAACCCTATTAATATCGGTTTTTTGAAATCGTGTACCCCCCCCCCTAGCGGCCACATAAATTTATCTGGAGGGCTGAAAATTAGTACACATATGTATTTTCGCGTGTAGATTACAGGAAAATTATAGCGAACTTGATTGGAATTGATTAACATAGCGTTGTCAAGGAAAAACCATGAATTTTTACGAAAAATGCCTAAAAATGACTATGTACCCCCCCCCCCTAGCGGCCACATCTTTTGACATAAAGAGCTCAAATTTAACACACTTACGTATTTTTACGTGAAAATTACAGGAAAATTATAGCGAACTTGATTCGGATCAATGTAGATAGCGTTGTCAAGGAAAAATCAAAAATTTCGAAAAAAATAATTTATTCTCCCTAGCGCACACAATATTCAACCCAGACAGATCATATTTAGTATACAAATGTATTTTTACGGGAAAAATACAGGGGAAAAAAAGCGGTCACGATTAGAGTTGATGATTAACTTTTTATCAAGTTTTTCAAGAAAAAATGACAATTTTAGGAAAAAAATGTATTTTTCCACCAAAAACGAACAAAATTTTATTTAAAGGAAATTAAATTTATATATTTTAACGTATTTTTACGTGTAGATTACAAAAAAAATATAGCGAGCATGATTGGAGTTGATTATCATAGCGTTGTCAAGGAAAAACCATGAATTTTTACGAAAAATACCTAAAAATGAGTATGTACCCCCCCCCTAGCGGCCACATCTTTTGACATAAAGAGCTCAAATTTGACACACTTACGTATTTTTACGTGAAAATTACAGGAAAATTATAGCGAACTTGATTCGGATTAATTTACATAGCGTTGTCAAGGAAAAATCAAAAATTTCGAAAAAAATGATTTATTCTCCCTAGCGCACACAATATTCAATCCAGACTGTTCATACTTGCTGTAAAACTCAATTTTTGCGTGAAAAATACAGGGAAAAAATGTAAGCGCGATTGGAGTTGATGATCAATTTTTATCAAATTTTTGAAGAAAAATGATAAATTTCAGAAAAAAATGTATTTTTCCGCAAAAAACGAAAAAAGTTTTTCTACAGTGATTCAAATTTATATATTTTGACGTATTTTTACGTGTAGATTACAAAAAAAATATAGCGAGGATGATTGGAGTTGATTTTTCTGGAATTAATAAACAAATTTTATTTTTTAGATAACTTTCGATTTTTCCTTGACAAGCAGCTACTAGCCTTATGTCAATATCTTAAGTTTTATCTCTTTTTGACTTAGAAAGATAAAATTTAATATTCAATATATTTTTAAAATGTAAATACAATAAAAATATTGCGAGTTGAAATAAAATTATGTTTCTTATATTTTTTTAGTAAAATATTTTTTAAAAAATAAAATCGGACAAGTGCGAGTTACACTCGCACTGAAATCGAGGGTTCCGTACTCGAAGCGAACTTATTTGGTATAAAAACAAATGTTTAAAAAATATGTGTTGTATGACAACTAATATAAGTGATACGAAGAAGAACAATTTTCTTGAATTTTACAAAATTGTTCCTTTTTGTATCACTTATAATAGTTGTCATACAACACATATTTTTTAAACATTTGTTTTTATACCAAATAAGTTCGCTTCGAGTACGGAACCCTCGATTTCAGTGCGAGTGTAACTCGCACTTGTCCGATTTTTGTTTTTCATCCCTATCAGTATTTACATCCGTATAATCTTCGGCATCCTTCAGTTTCTGTAAACCTCTGGAATATGTTGCTGTAAAATATAAAGGAAGATGTCATAAGGTCAATTAATGCATAAATTTTATTATGAGTAAAAGGAAATATAAATTATAGTTATTTGATAAATTAAAACGCAAATACACTTTATAGTACTTACCTGCTCCACCCAACAATTTTACAATTGCTTCCTTAGTCCAATTTGGTTTAGGTACTTGCTTTCTTTCTACAAACTTATAATAACCGTTCATAGTTGTTGCGCGAGGCCAATAAACATTCTTTTTCTTCGGAGTTAACCATAATGTAGGAACCAATTGTACTCCATTAGAAAATTCGACTATTAAATATTCTTCATTTATTGTTTGCGGCTTTATATTCTTGCTGTAAGACATCTGGAATAGAAGTATACATTTTTTTACGTAAAGTATTTAATTTTCTAAAAGAAATTTAATCAGAACAAGACACTTTGCACATAGCGTTAGTTCAATTTCATAATTATCTTTTTAAAATAAATTTTTTAATTTTATATTTTTCATTGTAAGTTTTAACATTTTTAATTTTAATAGTTTGTGCGATAAATTAAATTAATAAAAATTGATAACATTTTTGCTAAGAGGTCGTGCATGTAATAATACGTCAAACTGTTTTGTTGATTCCCTCCCGCCCCCTTGTTACACTTTGTTACATACATTAGCGTTATTTATTC